GGTGCAGGGGCCCAAGTGCTTGGGTCCTCATTCACTGCTTTCCCAGGCACATTAGCGGGGAGCTGGATCAGAATTCAATTCTGATGCAGACCCTAGGAGGTGGTGTAATGGCTCAAGTCATTGAGTTCCTTTTGGTTATTGATTTATTTGAAAGGCAGAGGTACAGAGAGGGGGAGAGAGAGAGAGAGAGATCGTCTATCCATTGGTTCACTCCCTAGATGGCTGTAATGGCCAGGGCTGGGCCAGGCCGAAGTCAGGAGCCAGGAGCCAGGAGCTTCTTCCAGGTCTCCCATGTGGGTGGCAGGGGCCCAAGTGCTTGGGCCATCTTCTGCTGCTTTCCCAGGTGAACAAGCAAGGAAGTGGAGCAGTTGGGGCTGGAACCGGCGCCCATATGGGATGCCAGTATCACAAGGGACGGTTTAACGCCCTGAACCACAAGGTGGGCCTGTAGTTGGGATCCCACTATCCATATGGGAGACCTGAATTGAGTTGCTGATGGATGGGAGCTCTCTCTCTCTCTCTCAAATAAAAAAGAAAGACACACTCTTTTGAACAGTCTTTCCAACTTTCATAGTGATTATAAGCTTATAGAAAACCTAGTATCCCTGAGGTATACAGGAAGGGCCAACTGTCAGAGCCCTCACATACCCAAGCCCTCATGTCAGGAAGGCGGCTCTGGGTGACAGTTTGGTGTGATGGGGGCCTTTCTGAATTTCCCTTCTATACATAACCCTACACAGAACTCTACAACCTCTTTAAGCCTTAATTTCTCTAAAAATTCCCAATACATAACGGATGCCCCATTTGGTCATTTAGGCACAACTCCCTTGGGAACTTAGGCACTTAGGCACAATTCCCTTGGGAACCCAGCCGATTGCAGTGCAACCACCTCATGGGAAGATGCATGGACCAGGATGTCTGTGCCGGCAGGAAAGGACATGGCAAATAAGCGCCCATCAGCAGGTGATGGCTTACCTCTGCACGGGGGCAGTCCTGGTGTAACACACGCGTTCAGCGAAATACCCCTGGGTCTTCACAACAACCCCACAGGACAGGCGAGTCACTGTCCCCTTTTAACACAGAGGAAAGTCGAGGTGGGTGAGCACTGAGGGGCCAATATGATGTCATACCTCAAGGGGCAGAGCAGGATCCAAACTCAATCCAAATTCCTCTGGTGCCTCTAATGCCCGCCCAGTGATCAGGCTTCAGCTTGACTTTCTAACTGGACCTCTCTTCACCCATCCATCCATCCATCTGTCCATCCATCCATCTATCCCTCCACCTGTCCCTCCACCTGCACATCCATCCATCTACCCATCATCCATCCCTTTACCTTTCCATCCATCCATCCATTCATCCATCATCCATCCCTCCATCCATCCCTCCACCTGTCCATCCATCCATCCATCATCCATCCCTCCACCTGTCCATCCGTCTGTTCATCCATCCATCCATCCATTCGTCATCCACCCATCCAGTAAACACCTCTTGTTTTCTGTGTAGAAGGAGAGGTTTGGGTGGATCGTGTGCATGCATGTGTGAGCAGGTGCATGTGCTCTCCCACCTCGAGGCCTAAGATGTGCTCCCTGGGGCCTGGAGAGGTGTCCGAACGGGTGTGCAAGGGTGGTACTATTTCCCCCCAACATTTCATGACGAATGTTTTTCAATCACTCACAGAAGGGTGAAAAAACAGTATGACATAAATGACATCTTGTCTACCTGCCCACATTAAACAGCCGCTCTACCACCTCTCCTATTCTCCCTCTCTGGTGTGCGTGTGTGCGCACGCGTGTGTGCGTAGGTGGAGAGGAGATGAAATTCATTAACACAGGCTCCAGCCACTTCCTCTCCCCGCCCAGCAGGCTGACCGCAGATGTTTCAGTTACACATGCACTGCTTTCTCTTGAATCATCTCCTCTTGGCCTGAGCAGCCTGGGAAGAGGCCCTTTGGGGAGAATTTACCATGGGGGCAATGCCCCTCAGCCCACTCGGCCCATGGAGGCTTCGAGCCTCTACCTGCCATCTTCACTAGGCCACCAAAGGCACACAGGGGGCAGCTGGCCAGCCCTGAGGCCCCAGTGCCCCTCCCACGGCAGCTGCCTGGGGCGCTGTCCTCTGGAGCAGTCGCAGCCAAGGCCCTGGTGCACTCTGGGCTAAATGCACCTGGCCATGCCAGGCTCTGTGCCCTGGTCTTTCCCCTCTCCTAGCCTCAGTACTCTTAGCACAGATCCTCAGCCTGGCATTCTAGGCTCTTTGTGACTTGGTCCTGTCTTCCCTCTTGAGCCTCGACTCCTGCCTGATAAGTACCCTTTAGTGGCCTGGCATTTAATTCCTCCCAGTCCTGAGAAGTGCCTGTACTGACCCTGAGCCTTTGCATGCACTGTTTCCATGGCCTGGAACGCCCTCCCTTCCGTGCCTGGTGGGCTCTTATTCCTCTTTCAAGCACTGGCCCCCTCTGGCACCTACTCCAGGAAGCCTTCCAGGATAGTTTCTTTATCATCTCTCACTCCCATCTTCCACCTTTTGGGCAGAGGCTCATGCTTCTTGGGGTGAGAGGAAGTGGGGTTCTTTATCCTTTCTGGGCAGAGTCCTGAGTTTTCCGGGCCTCAGGTGAACTCCTCGGGGATCCCTGGTGATTCTCCATGAGATCAGGCCTGTCTGGAAGTTGAGCTGAAGGGAGACCAAGAATACAATTCCCTGCTTCCATCTTTCCACCTGACAGCAATGAAAACAGGGCATGCCCTGGTCACAGCCTCGCTCCCACCGTCCCATCCCAGTAGCGCTGCTGGTGGGCACTGTGTCCACCCTCCCAAGGGGGAGGCCTCCCCAGATAGCATCCAGCCGGGGGGGCCTCCAGTTGTAGCAATCCCAGCCCAGAGTTTTCCCTTCTCTTTTCCGTGGGAAGTCAGCTGGAGCTCCTTTTAGAGGTCCAAGTCCCGAAACCCGGCCACGTGGGGACGTGAATGGCATGCCAGCAGCCAGCCGTCTGGGGGACTCAGTGAACTGACCGGGCTTCTCGGGGGGCCTGGAGGGCAAAGCTGACTCTCCAGGCACTCACTTGCAGCAGGTGAATACACCAGCCTCCCCGAGCAAGCCGGTGTGTGAGGCCCCTTCCCGACGAGCCGCGCAGCAGCCCCACAGGGTGGGAGGTTTGAGTCCTATTCTGCTGGAACAGACGATTGGAGAACACAGGGGAGCCCCGGGGCTGAAAGCAGGGACTCTGGTAATTCCCTCCGTCCTTCAGCAGGCACTTCCCTTTCGCTCCTCTGAGCCTCGGTTTTCTCCTCTGTCAAATGGGCATGATGATGGGTCTGTCTTCACTTTGTGGCTATGAACATGCAGAGAGTAAGGCATGAAAGACCCCTGGTGTTGGCACAGGGTGGGTTCTGGGGGTGCAGCAGGGGCAGGGTAGGGCAGACATGGCTGGGAGCCCTGACTTCAGGCTGGGGGAGATGACAAAGACTAAGCTACTGGGGTGCTGTGCATTTCACTGCACCTTGGCTGGAGTTCCGGTGAAGGGGAAGGTGACCGAGACACAAATGTGCACTGGTGGCGGCGGCGGGGGGAGGGGGGTGGGGGTTGGGAGGGAACCCAGCCCTGCAGATTCTGAAGGCCCCTCCTGGAGGTGCCGTGTGAGTTGTGTTCAGTGGGAAAGTGGCAGGGAACTACATGAAAATGGGGGAGGGGAGCTAACAGACTCCTGATCCAGAACAGCTCAGCAAAAGCTTGGAGGAGGGAGGCGTGGGTTGTAACCCAGGAAGCCTCTGGCAGGTGCAGGGGGCGGCTGAGAGGAAGGTCATGTGACCGGGAGGCAGCAAGAGAACTCCAGGGTCCCTGTGTCCCTGCTGCACATCAGGAGGTGGGGGTGTGGTGAACCCCCCTGCCCAGGGACACCACTGTCCACCCCCAGACATCACTGTGAATACCAAGACACTGATGCCCCTGGATGGCTGGAAGGCAGATTCTCATTTCCACGCACCGTGAATTCTCAGGACTCCTCTCAAGTGAGCCGCTTCAGACATCCCAGACACCGCGTGCCGAGGGCACCCAAAAGCTCCCCGGCATCATCCCCTGCGGAGCTGCCCCAAGTGGGCCCAGGGAGCTGAGAGCGATTTGGATGCCGCCCCTTAATGTTCTTCAAGGAGACGCGTTTCCGAGCCCCTGCAGACGCCCTGCCAGGGGTGCTGACCAAGGTGGCTTAGGTTCCATGGTCACACCTGAATGACCCCCGGCCTCCCCGGGAAGAAACACTGATGGCCGCAGTCGGAGGCTTCTCTCTCTCTTCACTCAGGAGCCCAGACAGACTGTGGGGCTGGGGAGACACATGGAAAAGCCAGTTCAGACAGAGCCAGGGGATGTGTAGTGAGGTCTGTGGGCAGGTGCCCTGAGTCCATGGGGCCTGGAAGGAAGAACGAGCCCCATGGGCCACAGCCTTGGGAGGGTGGGCCATGTGTGCATTTGTAGCAGGTGGCATCAATTTGGTCTGGAACATCAAGGCCTCGGCAGTTTCATTTCTTCCTTCCTTCCTTCCTTCCTTCCTTCCTTCCTCTCTCTCTCTCTCTCTCTGTCTCTCTCTCTCTCTCTCTAAGACTCACTTATTTATTTGAAAGGCAGAGTTACAGTGAGGCAGAGAGAGAGAGAGATATCTTCCATCCACTGGTTTACTTCCTAAATGACTGCATCAGGAGGAGCTGTGCCCATCTAAAGCCAGGGGCCAGGAGCTTCCTCCGGGTCTCTCACATGGGTGCAGGGGCCCAAGGACTTGGGCCATCTTCTACTGCTTTCCCAGGCCATAGCAGAGAGCTAGATCGGAAGTGGAGCAGCCGGGACTCGAATCGGCGCCCGTATGGGATGTCGGCTCTGCAGGCAGGGGCTTTACCCACTACGCCACAGCGTCAGCCCCAAGCAGTTGCATTTCTAAGAATTTGTCTTGTGTGTCTCTCCACAGCCCTGCTTGCACCAGCAGAGTCTGGAGGGAGAGCAAAACTGCACCGGGCATAATGGGAACGTTCCGGTCAAGGGTGATGCAGGCAGGCCCCAGGGTGTGTCCAGTGCCACTTAGAAAGAGGAACAAGCACCCATGTGTGGAGCACAAGCACCCATGTGTGGAGCAGGCAGCTCCACACGTCCCCAGGGGTGCAGCTCTGGCTTGGGCAGGGCATTGGTGGCCACCTCCAGGGAGCATGGCTGCAGGGGGATTTCTTTCTCGCCATGTTCCCTTTGGGGCCTGTCCAATCTTTGCATCCTGAGTGGGTTTCACCTACTCAAAGTCTGCTAGCCACATGGTTTGCTGGATGAAGGGAAGGAGTCGGGTGTGCTGGGTGGAAAGACAGCTCACTCCACAAGTCCCTTCATGGTTCACAGGACTCAGCACTCTCTCCTCACTGCTTTTGCAATCAGACTAGCCTGGGGGCAGTGCGGTCTTATGCCTGGCCGTGGGCTTGAACCGCCACCTCCGCAGCCTGACCAATTGCTTCATCGTGTCTCTGGCCATCACCGACCTGCTCCTCGGCCTCCCGGTGCTCCCCTTCTTGGCCATCTACCAGCTGTCCTGCAGGTGGAGCTTCGGCAAGGTCTTCTGCAATATCTACATCAGCCTGGACGTGATGCTGTGCACGGCCTCCATCCTCAACCTCTTCATGATCAGCATCGACCGGTACTGCGCCGTCACGGACCCGCTGCGGTACCCTGTGCTCGTCACCCCCGGCCGGGTCACCATCTCGCTGGTCTCCATCTGGGTCATCTCCATCACCCTGTCCTTCCTTTCCATCCACCTGGGCTGGAACAGCAGGAACACGACCAGCGAGGGCCACCACACCAGCCCCAAGTGCAAATTCCAGGTCAATGAGGTGTATGGGTTGGTGGACGGCCTGGTCACCTTCTACCTGCCTCTGCTGATCATGTGTGTCACCTACTACCGCATCTTCAAGATCGCCCGGGAGCAGGCCAGGAGGATCAACCACATCAGCTCCTGGCAGGCAGCCACCATCAGGGAGCACAAAGAAGGTCACCGGCAGCATTTGTGGGAACCTATGACTCCCGGTCCCAGCCAGTTCACGCTAACGCGGATACCGCGACTACGAACCGGCGCACATCACGTGCTGACTGCACAGCGGGTCTGCGGCTCTGAGCATGCTGCCCGTGTCAGCTTTCCCACGATTTTGTGAGGACAGCGGATGCTTCTCCCCTCCATTCTTAAATGCAGAAACCAAGGCTCTGAAAATTTACAGACCTTGCCCGGAGTCTCAGAGCCAGGGAGAAGAAAGGTCAGGATTTGAACCCAGGTCTGTCTGCCTCCAGAGTCCCCATGTACTTTTAAAATAAGGGATGGGGCCATTGTGTGTGCGCAGCAACACACCACTTCTTCCCACGCGAGAACCGTCCTGCATCTCCATGGTAGCCAGTCTCTAACTTATTCCTCTTAGTGGGTTGGGCGTTGGTCGAAGCCTGAACAGCTGGAAGAGAGCTCGCTGGAGGCTGCTCACTAGGGAGAAAGGGCTCGGCCCGCAGCGGCGCTGCTCCCGTTCTTTCATTTCTCCCGAGCCTTGGAGGGCCCAAAGCCCTGCATGCTTTTGCTTCTGTCCCTAAGAGCCTCTTGCCCTGTAGGTGGGACCCCCGGCACAGGCTGAAAGGTGAACGCATCCAGGAATCGACCGTGGAGGTGGTTCTGTAACTGCTGCTGTTGGCTCAGGTTGGGAAGGGCCTCTGCATCCCGGAGACAGATTTCCTGCAGCCCAGCGGGAGGCTGGCAGCCAAGGTGACGCTTTACTATGATGGCTGTCAACGCCCTGGCATCAGAGAGAGGGAGCACAAAACCTGGGCCTGATGCTAGGACACTGACCACGCCCATTGTCCAGGTACCTACTGTGGGCCAGGCTCCATGTGGGGCAGAGATGATGGCTGCTATTCCCACTTGGCAGATTGGGAAACTGAGGTTCAGAGAAGAGAAGTCGTTTGTCCAAGCCTGCACATTTAGTGACGAGGCAGGGAACACTTTGAACTTGGCCTGGTTCCAGAGGCTGTGACTTTGCATACGCACCCAGAAGCCATGGAGCCTGTTCGGGCTCCAGCACTGCCTCCTAGTGTGAGGGTTCCTGCTGTGGTGTTTTCCTACCAGGGAGGGGCGTACCCCATTTGTCCGGCCTCTCCACAGTCTCATGAGGATGTCCCAATGCTCTTCGTGTGCCTGAGAAAGCTTTTTATTTCTCTTTCACTTTTTCTCAACTGAGCTGAAATTCACATCCCACACAATTAGCCACTGTAAAGCATAGACTTTAAAACAGCATCTCGGGGGATGGCATTGTGGGGCAGCAGGTTACGCTGCCCACAACAACACTGCAATCCCATCTGAGCGCCGGTTCCAGTCCCGGCTGCTCCACTTCCTATCCAGCTCTTTGCCATGGCCTGGGATAGCAGTAGAAGATGGCCCAAGTCCTTGGGCCCCTGTATCCAATGAAGAGATCCTAACGAAGCTCCTGGCTCCTGACTTCAGCCTGGTCCAGCCTCAGCCATTTAGGGAGTGAACCAGTGGATGAAAGACCACTCTCTCTCTCTGCCTCTGCCTCTGTAGCTATGCCCTTCAAATAAATAAATAAATAAATAAATAAATAAATAAATAAATATTTGGTGCTGGGGCTGTGGGGTAGCAAGTAAAGCTGCCTGCTGCAATGCCAGCATCCCATATGGGCACTGGGTTCGTGTCGCGGCTGCTCCGCTTCTGATCAAGTGCCCCTCTAATGGCCTGGGGAAGAAGCAGAAGATGGCCCAAATGCCTGGGTCCCTGCACCCCCATGGGAGACCCAGATGAAGCTCCTGGCTCCTGGCTCAGCCTGGCCCAGCCCCAGCCACTGAGGCCATTTGAGGATGGAAGGTCTCTCATTCTGCCTCTGTCTTTCCTTCTCTGTAACTCTTTAAAGTAAATAAATAAACATTTTTAAAAAACATTTATGTATTTGAAAGGCAGATTGACAGACAGAAGGAGAGAGAGAGAGAGAGAGAGAGAGAGAGAAAGAGAAATATCTTCCATCCACAGGCTCACTCCCCAAATGGCTGTAACAGCTGGGGCTGGGCCAGCCCAAAGCCACGAGCCAGGAACTCCGTCTGGGTTTCCCACAAACATGGCAAGGGATCCAAGCACTTGGGGTCATCTTCTGCTGCCTTCCCAGGTGCACTAGCAGGAAGCTGGGTGGGCAGTGGAGCAGCCAGCCTGGACTCGAATCAGCACTCTGACGGACTGCCAGGGATGCAAGCAGTGGCCTAACCCGCCACACCACAATGCCAGTCCCCACTTATTATCTCTTTATGGTGAAAACAAGAACAAAAAAAATGGTGCAAAAAGTTTTTGAAATCCATGCCTATTATTTTGGCAATGTGCATCTTCCATAAGCTTTTTAGGGATACCTCACATAGCTAGATAGATGATAGATAGCTAAGGGCTGGTGGGGGGACAGCGACTGATGTATCTTGGGGGTGGGGGGTGTGCTGGAGGTGCTGCTGTCCTAGCCCACTGAGCCAGGCATTCAAACCTCCATGCAATGATCCGCTCTGCAAAGGGGCAGACCTGGACCCCCCCTTGCCCCCGCCCCACCCAGCAAAGCTGCACGATTTGCAGGTATCACAGCCCCTCCAGTAGGTCTCCTTTCTGTGGAGCACACTCTTTTTTTTCCTGCCTTATTTTTTGTTTCTCTATTTCTTCACTGTCTCTCCCCATTGCTATATGAGCTCCATGAGGGTCAGGAGTGAGAAGGCACCGTCTTGCTCCCTGACAGGCGCTTAACTGGGGATGGATGGAGACTCACTGGATTGGCTGAATGCATACTGACTCAGATAATGGCATAGGAGAGCTCTGGGTAGAAGCGAAACAGAGCGGTCACCCCGTGTTCAGGAATCCCTTCTACAGTGTCCTGGAGAGGCAGCCACCAGCTCTCCTTGCATACCTCCATTGCTGGGGGACTCACTCTCTTACAAAGCACTTACCCATCAGCCACAGCCATTTAACCACAGTTACAGAGACCTGCACACTCTTTCTTTAGGAGGCTGTGGCCACTGCAAACTAATACACGCGTGGAAATATCCCACAAAATAGGATTCGTGCAGACACGTGTCACCAGCTGCCACTCCCCTCCACTGGCATGCTGCGACCTTTGTGCGAGGCCAGCTGGGCATTTATCAAGGGGAATTTGGCAGTTTGCTTTCTGCATTTCAGATCTGGGACTCCATGTGTGTGTGTGTGTATGTGTGTGTGTGGTTTTTGAAAAGTGCTGAGCCCTGCAGAACAAGTGTTAAGTCCCTTTATCCCGGCAGTCCCCTACAGCTCCATGTCCTCCGCTGCCTGCTCTTCTCCATCCTAAACAGCCTTCCGGTCCTCCACGTGGTCTCATCACCACCATCATCATTGCTGACACTTTCATCAGCACCGTGCTAATTGCCATCACTGTCGCCTCCCCTGCTACCCGATGAACTGGACACCCAGCTGCCCACACCGAAGCCGTCTCTTCCTTCCTCTCTCTCCTCCTCGCCCCGCACTTGAACGATTTGCTCTTTCAGCAAGGTACAACTTGATTTTTTTCACGGGCATGTTCACTGCTGGGCTGGGTCACCTCAGCGAGAACAGCGCTGGGGCAGGCACTTGGCACAGTGCCTGATTTGAGTCCCCGCTGGCTCCACTGTCCAATCTAGCTTCCTGCTAATGCACACCCTGGGAGGCAGCAGGTGATGGCTTATGGATTTGGATCCCTGCCCCCTCCACAGGAGACCCAGATTTGAGTTCTGGACTCCTGGCTTCAGCCTGGCTCAGCTCGGGCTGCTGCAGACATTTGGGGAGTGAATCTGAGGGTGGGAGATCTCTGTCTTTCTGTCTTTCTGAGTCTGTTTCTCTGCCTTTCAATTAAATAAATAAATAAATACACAATAGCAAACAGCTGAGCTGGCTGGCATCATTTAGACCTGCTGGGTGCCTCTGAGACCCTCTCTGTCCTCCTCCACTGTCTCAGGCTGTTTTAGCCTGCCCATCACCTGCATGTGAGCTTTGTGGGAGAGCTCTGGAGAGCCATCAGGGCAGTCACCAGCGCCCACTCTGCCAACAGGGCACATAGAGGCCAAAGATCTCAGCTGGTGTCACACAGCCGGTCAGAGTCACGAAGAGCCTAGCCCTCTCAGCTTTCAGTTCCTGAGATTTTCTCTGTCTCTCTCTCTCTCTCTGTCTCTCTCTCCCTTGCCTCCTGTATTTCCAAAACCCCATGCATGAGCTTTGACAAACATAATACCAGTCCCAGACTATTTTTTTAAATGTATTTTTCTTTCAAGTGGATGAATCTATTGCCCAAGGAACTGTGTGATCATCACAACAGCCGCCGGGATTCTGTTCCTTCAAACCGGCTCCTGAAACATCACGGACCTCACACAAAGACGATTGCGTGTGGCTCCCCGCTGACCCTCTCCTGGTTACAAGGGGAGCTGGCCTGCGCCGGGCTGGTGCTACCCAGGGGTTTACACTGGCTCGTGCTTTCTCTTGGCCACAAAGAAGAAGGCAAGGAAGAGAACTGGAAGAGGTGTGTTGCCACGGCCTGATTGCATGCCTACCGGAAGCCGTTGTCATGGACCACCCCAATCCATCTCAGGACCCCCCTGGCTGCCCGCCCCCACCTGGAGGGAGTTCTTCACTCATCCCTGGGCCAACCTGGGTCTGTGCACTTCTTGGCAGCCGTCAGACCTCTCGGAGACTGTCCCTCCAGGGCTGTCACATCCAGCGAGCACACAGCACTGAGGACACAGACAGCCACCGCAAAGGATGGCGGGGTTGGGCGCATCGTGGCTTCACGGTAAATGGCCCACACCATCCCACTGCTACTCTATAGATTCCTCTTGGGCAAACCAGCTCTCCTGTGTCAGAGGTCACCAGGTTTTGGGAGAGGCAGTGGATACGCCAGGCAAACCCAGGTTGTAACAGCCTGAGTGCCGGGGGTGCCAGATGTGCTGTGTTTGGGTTAGGAGGCAGAGGACACAGGGCGGAGGGCAGCTGGGAGGTGCTGGGCTGTTTCCAGAGCTGGAAGCCCGCCCTGGGAATAGGTGTGGCCACGCCCTCCCAGCAGAGGATGGCACAGACGCAGGCCGTGTAGACGGGGGAGGAGCTGTCTCCCGAGTGTCCTGCTTGCACATCCCTCTTCTC